GACCGCGGTTCAATCCCCCAGCACCACATGCCAGCCAGCCCCGCCCCCTGGTGGGCTGAGCTGGCCACACACACACACCACACGCTCGCTCTCTCTGTCTCTCTCAAATAAAAAAAAATTATAAAAAAAATAAAAATCACCATATAAAGGAGCTCAGTAAAATAAGCGCTTATGCGTAGGGTCCTAAATTCAATCCCCAGTACCGTAAAAAAAAAAAATAGTAAAAATTTTAAAAAATAATAATAATCACCATACAATTATGTGCATGAGCTATACACACTGGATTGTATATAACATACTTCTTGATGTAAATCTAACTGGAAAACTCCTCAATGCGTTCTCAAGCATAAATGTTTTTGGGGCCGGGAGGCAGCTCAGTAGAATAGGCGCTTGCGTGGCAAGTGCAAGGGTCTGAGTTCAATCCCCGGTAAAAAAAAAAAAAAAAAAAAAAAAACCGCAATATTTTTCTGCCGCACTGATCTTAATCTAAACAACTCTATCTTGCCCAAATATCATCGCTTCCTTTCTTGCCTCCCTATAATCTAGCTTGAAACAAAGGTTGTTGTTTTTTGTTTTGTTTTGTTTTCGGAACCGAGGATTGAACTCAGGCCCTGGCGCTTGCCTGGGAGGCGCTTATTCTACTGAGCCATCTCCCCGGCCCTTGAAACAAAATCTTATTAAAAGACAAATTACACTTGGCATAGTGACGCATATCTGTAACCCTAGTAGTTTGGGAGGCTGACGTAGAATTCGAAGTTCTAGTCCAGCCTCGGTAAAGAAGCAAGACTCTCAAATAAATGCAAAGTGGGCTGGGACGTAGTTCAGTTTTGTGAAGGACCAGAGTACGGGGTTCAACCCCCGGTATGGGAGCGAGGGGTGGCTGCGTGGCAAATAAATCGGGTAACTTAATCCTCTGCTTGAAAGCTTTCGATCACTCCTCAAAGCACCCAGAACAAAATCCGAATTTTGTCACAGTCTGCAAAAAAACACAGCCCCTGTGTGTCTCTTCTACTGGACCAAACCCTCTAAGGGTAAAACAGCCCCAAACGGCGGGCCACGTGTTCACCAAAACGCGGGCCCTACAGCCTTCCACTGCGTCCCAGAGGCCGGGAACTTAAAAAGCACTACCCGATTCAGAATACTTCCGTCCTCTCCTGAAGTCATCCCGCCCCTCGCCTGTCCAAGCCCGAGCTTTCTCCCTCCAACTGCTCAGTCTCCCACTTACCTTAAAGATGGCGTAGCCAACGGACGTCTCAAAAAGCACCAACATGGTGAGGCCGCGTCAGGGGCCGCGCGGCCCGCCACAAGCTCCTACACCAGTACACAAAGGGCACGTCTGCAGCCACCAAAGGGCCGCTAAGGTCTCGGCCGATGGGACAAACGAACACACTTTCCACAGAGAATCTGATCACGCTGCCGTAGGCATTCGGAGCCCAGCACATGCACAACGCCGTAGCGCGCTTCACCTTCTCCAAGGAAGCCACGCGCCGACGTCACTTCCGGCGGAAGACTGGCGCGTAGCGGAAGTCACTTCCGGGCTATTCCCGCTTTGTAGGAGGGGTGGGGCGGATCGCGAGAAGGTAGCGAGTGGTTTCAGGACTGAAAACGCTTTTTGGCGTAGCGCTACAGAGCAAAAAGTTCGCGCGCTACTTTTAAACCCTTCCTCCACCGTGAGTGGCATGTTTCACATTGAGATAAACGACCTGTTTTTGTGTCTGTTAATTTTGGAAAATGTTTGGTGCTGCCGTCAGACTGCCTGTTTGCTAGCCTTGCCTTCCAGGAAACGCCTCAAAATGACACCACGACTGTCATCTGTCGTCGGTGAGCACTGCGGTCTTCTCTCTGGCCAGATTGATTCTTAGCACAGAATTCTTTCAAATACACGTAAGCCCTCCGGTTTGTGCTTTCTTAAAATAACTTCAGCCTATGAGTTTAGATCTTGTGCCCCTGGGAGCATGGTGGAGGAGCCCTTACCTCCTCCAACCCCCATCCTGCCATCAAATCCCAGCAGAGCTGGATGCAGGCAGGGCCTTCAACATCAAAGTCCAGGCCCAAGTGTGTGCAGGCAGCCAACAGGCACAGGGACATTATTGTCCAGTAGTTGTGCCAGGTTCAGGTCCTGGCTGTCCCTTCCCGTGCTGGTCAGTGGCCTCAGTGACCTTGCCCTCACCTCGTCCCACTGCATCCCCTCCCTCGCTGCTGAGCCTGCTGATGTCCCCAGAGAGAAGCCCTAGAGCCCCGGGATCTGGATGCCACCCTGGCTCTGCAAGCCCCAGACCCCAGCTCAGCAGCCACTGCTCAGAGCTCCACCATGGCACCTTGGAGGAACCAACACAGACACCCTGTCACTAACCCTCTTCCCCTCTCCCACATAGGGCCCCTGCCAAATTCCCTTGTTGTCCACTTGGATCCCATCCCAATTCTGTCTTACTTCCTGCATTTTAACCTTGACCTTGAAGAACCCCTGAGATGCTGGGGCACAGTAGGAGCCCTGTTGTTCCAGCACTCAAGAGGCTGAGGCAGGAGAGTCAACCTGAGTTCAAGTCCAGCCTGGACCAGATAGGGAGACTCTGTCTCAAAAAAAACAACCCATCAATCAATGTAGGATTGAGAATGTAGCTCAAAGTAAAGATCCTTGGTTCCATCCCAGCACAACCCCCTACCCCACCTCCATTCCCCATGTATCTACACATGCATGCATAGGATCAAAGGATGGGGATTTTAGGGTGTAGACTACTGTGCTTGGTTATAAACATTGCTATAATTCCAAGTAGTCAAAGAGATGAGAAACTAAGCTGGATTGATTAGAAGGGGAATGTAGATGAGATGGAAGTATTGTCTCTTTAGTGTGTTATTTATCTTTACAGTTTGAGTCTTTCATTTGTTTTACTTTGTTTAGAGAGAATCTTGCTATGTAGTTCAAACTTGGTTCTAACTCACTGTGGAGCCCAGGCTACTTCACATTTGTGATCCTCCAGGTTCAGCTTCCCAATGCTGGGATTATAGGCATGCCCACACCCAGTTCACTTTTTTTTCAGTATGGGGAATCAAACTCAGAGACACTACCACTGAGATACATTGCTGTTACTTTTAAAATTTTGAGACAGCATCTTACTAAATTGCTCAGGTTTGCCTTTGAGCTTGCAATCCTGCCTCAGCCTCCCATGTAGTTGGGACTATAGGCATGCACATACTTGTCCAACTTCACAACATTTTCCTCCTGTCTAGTCTGCTTAATGAAAGTGCAGTCTGCTAGAGAATGGAAACTATCTTATAGTACTTGTATCCCTGTAGAGCATAATGTTGTGCTAGACATTAAATAGGATTTCAAGAAGTTAAAAGAATACATTTATCAACTCCCACAATGATTGTAATCATTGTATATTACAAATACGGACTAATAAAAATTAAAAACAAAAGCTGCACCCTAAAGTAATAAATAATATTTATAAAATCAGTAAAAAAGAAATAGGATCCCATTAAGTAAGTCTTAAGATTTTAATAAGTGGCTGAGGTTGGTGGGGGACGTCTATAATTCTAGCATTCAGGAGACTGAGGCATGAGGATCACTGCAAGTTTGAGACTAACCTGAGCTACAAAGTGAGCTCAAGGCCAGCCTGTACTGCATAGCAAAACCCTGTCTCAAAAAAATGAAAAAAATTTAATGAATATTTGTAGGAAGTAAAATTCTTTTCCTTTCATCTGACATTTTACATCATTTTCTTTTTATGTATTTTGTTCAGGGTCTCACTACACAGCTTGGACTCTAGTGATCCTCCTGTTTTTAAGAGTCCTAATGCTGGGATTAGAGGCGTGCGCCACCATGCCCAGACTCAGTTACAGGCTCAGCTCGCTCAGCGTGGGGACATCCAGGGGTGGGGCTGGTGTGGCATGTGGTGCCAGGGATGAAACCCCAGTCTCTGTGCTTGCCGAAGCAGGCGCTTAGTCTACTGAGCTATCTTGCTGGCCCTATCATTTTCTAAAATAAATCACTTTGGGGTCGGGGAGATAGCTCAGTAGAATAAGCACTTGCCTGGCAAGTACAAGGGCCTGAGTTCAAGCCCCGGTTCTGCCAAAAATAAATAAATAAATAAACTACATATCCAAGCCAGGTATAGTGGCATATGCTTGTAATCTCAGCACTCAGAAGGCTGAAGCAGGAGGATTGCTGGAGTTCCAGACTATCCTGGGCTACAAAGTGAGCTCAAGGGGCTGGTGAGATGGCTCAGTGATCTAAAGCACCTATTTGGAACAAGCTTAGCAAAGCACAGGTGACCACGGTTCAATCCCCCAGCACCACATGCCAGCCAGCCGCGCCCCCTGGGGGGCTGAGCTGGCCACACAAGCACACACACGCGCAAGTGCGCGCACACACACACACACAGACACACACACACACATAAATAAATAAATAAATAAATAAAATTAAATTAAAAAAAAAGTGAGTTCAAGGCCAGCCTAAACTGTATAGTGAGACCCCCATCTCAAAAAGACAATACAGTACAATACAGAGCCAGACCTTGTCTCAAAAAACAAACAAAAAATAACTCTTCACAAGGCGTCTCCTAGGATTTGTCCTTGCACATTGGTATTTGCATAATTACCCCAATATACTGTTTTAGAGCTGATTCTGATTTTGGATTTGGATCTTGGCCAGATACAGTAATTGCCTAGAAATTCCCTGTTGCAAGGGAAAAGTAAGAGTTTTAATATTTTATTAAACTAAGTACTAGGTCAAGGGGAGACAATACAGAGAAATGTAAGGAGAATATGGGAAACTACAGATACAAAGACATATTTATATGCCTGGGTTGGGGACATAGCTCATAAACTTGCTTAAGCCCTAGCTAGGTTCAATGCCCAGAATTGCCCCTCACACCTAATATGAAATGACAGTGGTAAAAATATGCTTATTCTCTCCTCTTTGTACATCTCAACTCTGTCCCTTGTTTCAACTAGAATATCATCCCCATCAAAATTTATCCCTGAATCTCTAGGACTAGGATAGTATCTGTAGTGTCTGGCACATTTAGGGATATGACCAACGAGTGAATAAATCAGTGGGTAGAATAAATGAGTGATAGATTTAAGTTATTTCAGAGGGCTAGTACAGGCTTCACATGCTTTGGAAATCAGATATGGTCAGAGGACTTCCATTTGCCTAGTAACAGGAGATGGATAATCTGGTTAGCAAACCTCTTTAACCCATTAAACTAATACTTGAGTGTCTATTCTGCTCAAGGCTTTTTTTTTTTTAAGTGTGTGTATGTGTTTGTGTGTGTTTGTTTGTTTGTCTTTTTGAGTCAGGGTCTTGCTGCACAGTGTAGGCTGGCCTTGAGCTAAGTCTGTAGTCCAGGCTGGTCTTGAACTTGCAGTGATCCCTGCTTCAGCCTCCTGAGTGCTGGGATTACGAGTGTGCACCATCACATCGGGTTGTGCTAGGCATTCTTGTAACCACTAAAGACATAGTAGTGAAAAATTGGACAAAGCAAGGGCAAAAGATAGAATGAGTTTATGTTTATTAGAGGTAGGAAGAGAAACATGCTCTGCATTGGCCAATTAAAAATAGGAAAAGGGGTGCTGAGTGGTTGACACCATGCAATCAGATGATAACAAAGACTCAAGGCTTTTGCAGAAATGAATATGGCCTGACTGGACTGTGTAATCGGTCATCTTGTCCCCTAGCAAATAGTCAGTATGCCACTGTTAAAAAAGAAAAAGGGCAGTGCTACTTGTACATGAAGGTTATAGAACGAGCAGCTTTTCCTAGGCGTCTCTGGGAATGGGTCCGGCTTAGTAAAAACTATGAAAAAGCACTGGAGCACATAGATGAAAATCTGATTTACTGGCCCCGCTTCATTCGACACAAATGTAAGCAGAGATTCACCAAGATAACCCAGTACCTAATTTGAATTAGAAAAATAACACTAAAGCGACAGAGGAAACTTGTTTCTTTGAGTAAGAAGGTGGAACGTAGGGAGAAAAGAAGAGAGGAAAAGGCATTAATAGCTGCTCAGCTGGACAATGCCATTGACAAGGAATTGCTGGAGAGACTGAAACAAGATATGTATGGTGACATCTACAACCTCCCCATTCATGCCTTCGACAAGGCTCTGGAACAGCAGGAAGCAGAAAGTGATTCTTCAGAAGTCGAGGAGAAAGATGATGAGGAGGAGGATGAAGATGTGGGAGAAAAAGAGTTCGTGGAAGATGATGAAGTGGATGAGAGTGAACTAAGTGATCTTGAGGACATGGATAAACTGGAGGCCAGTGATGATGAAGATCAGTCATCCAGTGAAGAACAGGCTAACTCGAAACACAAAGGGAAAACACCCCTGAAAGGAGCTTTGTGCAGAAAACGAGCCTATGTGGAGATAGAGTATGAACAGGAGACAGAGCCCATGGCCAAGGCCAAAGCCACATGATCTCTCTGCAAATGTAATGAAGACTGAGCATCCTGAGGTTTTTCTATTACACATACACCTCCAGTTTTT